TAGACGTATCTTTTATGGTAAAGGTTGTTACTCGCACTGGCATTTATATGTTTGGCATTTAATTGGTTTCCTCTTTCTTTACTCAATTTTTATTAATTTCCTACCCTTGTGATTTATAAAATTTAATTTCGCAAATGTTAGAGTAGATGTTTATTATGTGACGATCTCAAAGTATATTCTACTTGCATGCCATAAAATATATTACTTAGTATATAATTTGGTAGCATGCATCAAATTATATGACATTATTTTCAAGATTGTAAGACATGAGTTAGACTTACCTTAATACTTGAAAATATTCTTGAGATCATGAAAATAATATGTAAAGATGTACATATATTTGTTTGATTAGAAAAAGGGATCAAACTGTTTAAAGTGTTATAATGGTGTAGTTGGAAAACCATTTGGAAAGGAAATTAAGATTCTCGTGATTTTCTACACACGTTATGGAGAATAAAATCTTCGTGATTTTCTACTCCTGCTTCGAGATCAAAATCTGTGTGATTTTGTACTCGTTCGTTGAGATTAAAGTCTTCGTGACTTTCTATTCATTTGTCGGAAATTAAAGTCTAAGTGACTTTATACTCGTTTTGGACATTAAAATTTTTGTGATTTTCTACTCCAATTTATTATTCAGTTTGAAGATTAAAAACTTCATCGTCTATTAAATTTGATTGTGTCACAAATTACAAGGTTTGAAGATTAAAAAACTTCACCGTTTACTAGATCTAGTTGTGTCAGATGTTACTCGGTTTGAAAATTAAAAACTTCACCGTTTATTAGATCTGGTTGTATCAGATGTTACTCGGTTTGAAGATTAAAAACTTCACCGATTGTTAATTCTGAATGTGTCAGATTGGTTTGAAGATTAAAAACTTCACCATTTATTAATTATGGCTCTGTCGTGACATAAACAACAGTTCTTGTAGTTGGCTCTACAAAGTAAAAGGGGCGGTGAATTTGAATTTCTTTTTGAAAAAAGATGTTTGGAATATGGTATTATTCATCAAACGACAGGTCCTTAGTCACCGCAATTTAATGAAATTGCAGAAAGAAAGAATAGGACGTTAAAGGAGATGATGAATGCCTTGTTAATAAGTTTTGGTTTACCCCAGAACTTGTGGGGGGAAAGTTATTCTCTCAGATAACCGTATACTCAGTCGAGTTCCCCATAGCAAGACGCAATCCATTCCATATGAAAAATGGAATGGAAGGAAGCCCAACTTAAATATTTTAAAGTGTGGGGTTACTTAGCTAAAGTGCAAGTTCCTAAACCCAAAAAAGGTAAAGATCGGACCGGAAATTATTGATTGCGATTTTATAGGATATGCAACAAATAGTAAGGCATATCGTTTTCTGATTCATAAATCAGAAAATCTCGATATTCATATTAATACGGTAATCATATCAGATAATGCTGAATTCTTTGAGAATATTTATCCATATAAAAGAAATGTAAGTCGTCTAGTGAAATATCTAAGCGACCTCGGGAAGAAGAAAAGGAAAGTACACCTAATGAGGTGAATCCAAGACGTAGTAAGCGTCAAAGGATAACTACTTCCTTTGGACCAGATTTTCTGACATTCTTGTCGGAAAATGAGCCTCAAAAGTTTAAAGAACTATTGTCTTCCTCGGAAGCACAATATTGGAAGAGGCAGTCAATAGTGAGATAGAATCCATATTAAGTAATCATACTTGGGAATTGGTTGATCTTCCTCCAGGAAATAAACTTTTGCGTTCTACGTGGATTTTCATAAAGGGAATGAAAGTTGATGGTACTATTGACAAATATAAAGTAAGATTAATTGTCAAATAATTTAGACGTAATGTCTAAATGATATAATTTTTGGACCCCATTGCTCTAGTAGTTGGTAAATTCTTAATGAAGACTAGTTGATGAAACTACTAATTCGGAAGTTGGTCACGTGCCTTTCTCGAAAGGTCATTTTCTTTATTGAAAATTTATATTGTTTAGTTCTTTTATGAAATGCTGTCACTTTGAAGGTTGTGAATTTTCATAGAAAGATACGTCTGTACG